CAATATTTGCAGACTTTCGGACGATTGAGGTTGAGATTGGAGTTTCTCAGCAATGGGGCATGGCACCTGGAGAGCTCGACCACAAGGCGATTGCGACATGGGCCGCGATGCCAGGAGTCGAATATGAGCTATGTGTGTCATTCGATCCCGACTTTGCGAATGCCGAATACAAGCTGTATGATGCTCGCGTCCATCCACTTGTGCAGCTGGCTCCACTTCCAATCGCCGCTCCAAGCACGGTGATCCAGTTGGACGGACGTCGAATCCTTGGTATTCCGCCACGGATGGCGCTCCCGGTAGGGTTTCCTGCAACTCTGTCGGTGGATTTGTACTCACCATTGGTCTGGGCAATGCGTTAATCAGACGTCCAGCAATCTCTTGCGGACTGCACCCTCCGACTTTGGCCACCGAGGATGTAACATTCGTTGTGACACCGTTTTTTCGTGACTGAGATGTGCCATTAATTTATGAACTCGTCAATTCGCACTACTCGCTCACTACGTCGTTGAACTCATGAGCCAAAAGACCAAAAGAGCAGCCTTGCGCTAGTCCGCTTCTCGCAATGTTGTCCAGAGACTCCTCCACATCATTCAAGCGATCCTTGATGGTTTTCTTGCGGTCCATCTCTTCGCGGAGTGCATTGATCGTATCCAGATGGATACCGACAAGAAATCCATCCTTGATAAGAAGTGCAGCACCAGAATCTCCAGCGTACGTTGGGCACGAATACATGATGTGTCTTCTGTGAGCACTGATGGAGATGCCGGCTACCGGAGCAAATCCCAGTTGATTCTTGAACACGTCTTGGTATTCGTCAATACCAAATCGATACGATGCCAACACAAGATCATAGCGTCCTCTTAGTTCATCTGTTCTTCCATTCCATGGAGGAATGAAGAATGATCCCCTGGTTTTGGACGACTGCAGAATCTATCGAGAGTGGCAACACTAGTCAAACCAGAACCGTCGGGCTTAAACTCGTTAGAGGACCGACTAGATCCAACTGGTGGTTTCCCTGATACCAGGGTACCTGATTCCCCGAAGACAGAAGAACTGTCAGGCGAAAGAGGGTCGCGGTGTTTGGATCCAATGGTGGATCCTACGAAGACGGAAGATGAGCAAGTCTGTTACCATCAGGGCGGGGATCTACACGCCGAGGATCTGGGAGAAGGCATGGCGGTGATCCCGGAGGTACCACTGACCACAGAGGAGGTCACGATTGATGATATCCAAGTGGATCCAGGGGCGAATGAACCTGCTGAAGTGGATCGTCTGCGTCAAAAAATCTGGGAGAGCCGACATCTGCTGATTGGTAAAGGTAATGCGTTACCGCTCGCTGTCCGCGGAGTCAAATGTGACATCGATGTCGGCGACGCGAAACCGATCGCTCAGAGGGTGAGGAAGGTGGCGCCTCAGTTCCGAGAAAACTATCGGATCTGATTAAGGGCCCGCTGCAAGCCAAGATCATCAGTTTCTCAACGTCCCCGTGGGCATCCCCAGTGGTAATCATCATCAAGAAGAACGGGGTGGATATACGTCTGTGCATTGATTACCGGCTGGTTAACGGTCTGACTCGATTGATGGTGTATCCGATGCCTCTAATCAATGAGCTGTTGGAAGATTTGGATAAAGTACTCTGGTACTGCTCTCTTGACATGGCCAGCGGTTTTTGGATAGTTACTATGACGGATCGAGCTCGCGCGATATCCGCATTCATCACACCGTTTGGACTGTTCGAGTGGAACCGGATGCCGTTTGGATTGAAGAACGCACCCCAGATCTACCAACGCCTGATCGATAACGCCCGCTATGGATTCACCCGAATACCGGAACCCGAAAAGGGTGGATCCGGGGAAGATCATACGGAAGTAGATCCATTTGAGGCAGGAGAGCCAGGAGATCCTGGAGCCCCGTCCGTGTTAGGACGCAGATCTTACATCGACGACATTCTAATCCCGGCGAAATCGTGGGATCAGTTGTGCGAAAGAGTGACATCCCTACTGGAGGCGTGTACTAAGTGGAATCTCTCTATCAGTGTGGTAAAGAGCTATTGAGGGATGCGCAAGGTGGATTACTTAGGCCATCGAGTTTCCAAGGAGGGATTGGAGGCGAATCCTAAGGACCTGTGTTCGTTAGCCGATTGGTCCTTCCCGCAGTCGTTACGGGCGATGCAATCCTTCTTGGGCAGTTTGAACTACTACAGTCGGTTCATCGAGGATTACGCCCTGTTTGCCGTGGTATTGTATGAATTGAGAGAGGTAGATTTTGCTGCGATGACCACTCCAGCTGTCCGGATAAAAATCCAACAAGCTCTGGCCCGGGAGATGTCGGATCCACGAAGGAATCCAAGTGGTACGACGCCAGAAGAGGACCTAAAACAGGAGCTGGATCCACCCCGGGATCAAAGGAAAGAGGATCCAATCAGGATAGAGACGACGGATCAGAGTTCGGAAAAAACGGAACCTTGGTGGATCCGAGCTCAACACGCATTCGTGGAACTGAGGAACAGGACCGCGACCACGCCTATCCTCCGTCATTTCGATCCAGAACGTCAACCTACGGTAATAGTTTATGCCAGCGACTGGGCAGTCTCAGCAGCTGTGGTACAAGAACATGAGGGGATCTGTCATCCAGTCACCTTCGTCATCCGGACACTGAAGCCGAATGATCTGAACAACGGAGCGGTGGAGAAAGAGATACTCGCGCTCCTGCGCGTGTTAGATCTGAATTACAACCTGCTGGTGGGAAGATCCATCCGGATCCTGACCCGACACTCTACGCTAGCCTGGCTGTTCAAGTCGGCCGGGTTACAAGGACGTTTGGGACAGTGGGCAGCTTTACTCTCGCCTTGGACACTGGAGATTGTGAAATGTTCGAAAGGGGAAGACGCGATCCTGGGAGTCTTGGTCGCGAGCATCACTCCTCGAGCTAAGATGGATGAGGCGCTGACTAGGGTCGCTCCTAAGAAAGAGCCCAAACGCCGGATCCAGATCCCGATCCCGACGGTACAGGCAGACGAGGATCTGTACGTCCTGAGTTTCGATGGATCCGCTCGCGTACGACGCGGAGGCGGGGCGTACAGTGCGATACTGTGGAGACTACCTGGATGGGAAGCTGTACGGGCCAGATCCACTTATGCGGAGGGCCTCACCGTCAACGAAGCGGAGTATAACGGGCTACCGCTGGGTTTGGATCTACTAAAGGGACAAGATCCGAAAAGGCTGGTGATTTGTGGGGATTCAAATTTGGTGATCAGACAGGTGCGAGGTGAGATTGACTGCAAGGCCCCGGCCCTAACACTGTTACGGCAGAAAGTGATGATCCACCTGCGTGGTTGGATGAATCACGAGTTGGTGCATGTCAAGCGAGATTGGAATGCCAGTGCAGATAGCTTGGCCAGCGCCGCTTTACGGAATCAATGTGGTGTTGAAGTGGAGAGAGAGGCCGAGCATCAGGATCTCGTTACGTTGAACCGACTAGACGAAGTGGTGGTAGTGGGATCCGGGAAGAGGACAGTCCAGGTGATGTCTGTCACTAGGTCCAGAGGAAGGATTGGATCCAGCCCCCAGATTCTCGAGGAAACATTCGTGAAGGGAGTCCGCATTGAGCGGATCCTCAAAGCACAGAACGAGGAAGCGTGGATCCTAGGACTAAAGAAGTATCTGATGGGGAATGTACGAGACCTGAGTCGGGAAGATGCCAAATCCTACAGCATTATCGCTACGGATTATGCGGTGGATCTGAATGACTTGCTCTTCTATTGCCCCCCTACGAAGAGAGTCAACGAGGATCGGGATGGATTGATGAGACTGGTGATGCCGGAAACCTTACAACAGGATGTCCTACACCACTATCACGCTAGCTTAGAAGGCGGACATCAGGGTATTGGTCGGACCTACCAACGGATCCGGGAATGTTTTCACTGGAGGGGACTATTCAAGAGCGTACAAGGGTATGTCGGGTTGTGGATTGTGAGACAGGCAAGGGCAGGCCCACAATCGAAGGGGATTCACCTGGGAATATCCAAGCGACTTACCCTTTCCAAATCATAGCCATGGATCACATCCCCTCGTGCCCAAGTCGTTCAAAGGAAACACAGAATTGTTGATTTGGGTGGACCTGTTTACCGGATACGTGGTACCCAAAGCTAGTGCGTCTAGAACTGCGCAGACCATTGCTGAATCGTACGAGGAGTGCGTTTTCCGAAGATTTGGAGCTAGCGAGATGATTAGACATGATCGGGAGCCAGGCTTTATGTCTGATTTCTTTCGAGCATTCAACCGGATCCTGGGGCAGCGACAGCGAGCAACCATGGCATATCGTCCCCAAGCTAACGGATCGGCCGAGCGCATGGTGCAGACAATCACGAGAGCACTCAAGATGTATGTCCAGGATTTGGATCAGAAGGATTGGGATGAGTACGCAGAGCGGCTTCCCTTCGCGATGAACACCGCCCAAGACAGGATCCGAGGTGATACCCCATTTTACTTGGTACATGGGTGGGATCCCAAATCCACCCTGGAAGCGGCAATCCCAGTTTGCAGCACCAAGAAGAGGAACCGAGATCCAAGGCGATGGCGATACCAAGTCCAGAAATACTACCGGCAAGCTAGATCCCAGGTGAACGAACGACTGCGGAGTGCGATACAGGGTCGAGCGGATCGACACAACGAAGATGCCCGTCCACATCAAATCCAAGTGGGATCGCAGGTGTGGCTTTATTTGGATCGAGTGAAAGAGGGGTATGTGGCGTAGCGGGATCAGCAAAATCTGCGAGATTGCCGGATCCAGCTTACCAACTGCACCCAGACACCGACTAACGGAGGGGGTCCCCCGATGATCCGTGTTCTGCTGAACTTTCCTCACCTTGTGTACCCGTCGGTAGGGCGGGATCTTGCTCTCTCGGTAACTTCCGAAGAGTTCAAGTGGTGAAGCTTGAGCGTCTTGGCGAGACGTGGAAATGGGGTGGAGCAGCAGTGGAAAATCTTCACTCTGCGTCCGTGGATGGTTCCGTATCCTAAGCGAATATTCGAGCTTATGGATCCGGGGCCTAGATCGTGGATCTGGCCGTAGGGTTGCCTTGCGGGTGTGTTCCCTTGCCTTTGTAGTTCCTTTGCGTCGTACTTGCCGCCTCCTGTGACGGGATCTTGAAAGTTGAGAGACCCTAGGGTGTAACCGACCAAGTAGTAAATTCGGTTAACCTGTCGGATCTGCACAAGTAAAGGAAAAGCTCACTAGGTTGTAGGATCTGGCCAATGTATTATCCAGTTATCGCTACCAACACTAGATTCGCAATTCCCAACCTTCTCCGAGCTCGTACGGCCAATGTAGTTCCGGTTCTTGAGGGCAGGAAGGCACTTGCGTGTCACTGTGCAAATTGGAGTCTGTATTGATATTTAAGCCTATACCTGCCTGGATTTCTACCTTCTATGTATTTCATCTGCTAAATCCCTTACCAGGCTCGGCTGCATGTCCCTTCTTCCCTTGACCCATCATCCCAGCTGTATTATCTTCAGATCCACCGGATCCATGACGTAATCATCATGGTCACCCTATTATGGGTACACTCATCCGGATCCAGGTCGCTTGGATCCACTTCACTGTAAGTTTGCACTCGTCGTCGATCTGAGCTCTCCCATCATCCAACGA